CATATCTTTCTTAGTTTATTTGATCGAGCCTCACCCTCAAGTCTTGTGTTTATCCCTCGGGGTAGATACAGGATTTGAGGTTGAGTGCTCTTTCATTTAAACCATGGAAAATATGAGGTCAGTTTGATTTCATATTTTTTCTAAAATTATATATATATATACGTAAATTAAAAAGTCCTTCCGAAGCGGGCGACGGGATTTCGATTCCGGCGACCGACAGCTTCTTACGGGCGACCCCCAAACATTAACTCTTTTCCCCTTTTAAGCGCCGACACTAATATAGTATAAATATCGCTAAAAGCATAACTTTTAGAGACACAAATTGCTCTATTAGACTTCCTACGGCCACCTTATATTTTTCTCAATTCTCTAAGCTTTTACATTTAAACTAATTTTTATAACACAACTTCTTATATCTTATTTGTTCATGCACAATATTATTCCACCATCAACTATTTTTATTTATATAATTTTTTCCTTCTGATTCTCAAGGTACATCATTTGTCACTTGTTTAATAGTATTTGTTATATTATCCCACAAATAATTTGCTCCTTCATGAATATCCTAAATCTTAAAATCTTGTAGTTTACTCATAAAAATAATTTTATTTGTATCATTTGGGTGCCCTCATCTAATTCTATGACAATGATTCATAATATTTTTTATCTTACAACTCTTCATCTTAAAATCCAGAACTAATAATCGATGTTGACTACTTATATTATCATTTGGAATGACCATATAATCTTTATATTATTGATGATCTATTCTTCTCATAAGAAAATATTTAATTTGTGTTTTATTAAATCCATTTTTATAAGTAATAATACGTTTTCTTTCCTTAAATAAAGTATTAGCAATAACAAAATCATACGATAAAACAAAATCTAATATGACTCCACCTTCTTTATTTAATCACTCGAAAATTGTAGTCATCATGAATATTTCTAAAATCTAGTAGCTCTCTACCAACATGTCCATTTAAATCTCCTCCAATAAAAATTATTTCTTCAAGAGTTATCATTTGTATTGATTCTTCTAGATCATTCTAAAATTTTTCTTTAGAACTTATATCTAAAACCTATTTAAGGAGCATAAATACTTTATAATATTAAAAAACTTAGTATTAACAACAATTGATTTTATTAATTTTTACAATATTATCTTTCAAACTCTTAATTATAATTACACTTACACCATTTCTAGTGCAACTCTTACATGAATACCAAAGTTTAAAACCTAAGCTAACAATCTCTTTAATTTTTTCTTCAATCAATTTAGTTTATTGAATACATAAGATATTTATCTTCCTATGAACCATAATATCAACTAATTTCATTAATTTATCAGTGAGTATCTATATTCCAAAATACTATTCTAATATTAATTTTATGGACTAACTTTTTTACTCGCATATGTTCGTAATGTGAGAATTCTTACTTATTTGACACTGCACCCGAGTGTCGGTATAGCAGCCCCTGCACATTTTTCACTGCATTTAGATCATACAACATGTCGCTTCCACGAGACGCCTTGGCATTTACACAAGGATCTAACGATTTATGTTATGATTTTTCGATAAATTTTACGCTAATTGTCGACTACCCAATGCAACCCTCCACTTTTCATATCTAGGGCTTGGGACCCGGCAATGACAGTATTCAAACTTGCACTGTGCAAATTATAATTTATAACTTCCACCAATGCTATAAAAAGTTCAAAAACATTTATTCTTCCTAATCTTTTGGTGTTATATAACTAAGTAAATTAACAATTTTCAACCTTTATCAAATACTCTAAATCACCTATGTCCACTTTATGTTATTATCTCCGATATATGTTAATCCCGCAATCCTCCATATAATCAATCTTTAATTTCTTTTAATTTTTCTGCATATCTATCCTAATATTCTCATCTCCACAAACACAAAATTTGGCTATCGATGACTTTTTTTATTTGTTTAATACTTCGATCCACACAACATAAGTATGTATAATTGAAGTTTTACAAGATGCACATTCAAGTCCATCCTAATCTTTTATTACATTATACTTACTCTTAAAGCACAAATCGATTTTAGCCACCTAAATACAATTTTATAGACTATATCCTCATCTACATCCTCATTCTTTTGCATAATAAATTGATAATACTTGAATATATCACACATCAATATCACTTTATTTTATAATATTAGTCAATGATTATTATTATTATTATTAGCACACCATACTTACATAATATACATTTGCCATTGTTCCACTCAAGAACCCTATTATGAATCTTCTCTTTACTGCTATAACTTTCCACTTATTAGAGCGAAACGATTAGAATTGTGTTATTGTTGTAAGCATACACCAAGGCATATGATTTTGAATACTCTTGATAAGCAACTCCATAATCAATTAAAAAATATTGATTTAATGACATCTTTGATATAAACATTTTATAAATGAAAATTTCTTGGTCACTCCGCAAGTCTTAATAATACTTGTAAATGTTATGCCATACATATCTTTAATATTTCAACCTATCTTTCATGTGCATTTATTGTCCTTGATTCAATCCAAATAAATTATCTTAGTGATTGATTGAATGCAGTCTCAAGATCAATAAATATTATTTCTCTACCCATTCATTGTGTTAATACAAATAACTCTATGGAGGATCTTTCTAACACAAAATTAAATTATATATATATATATTCTAGCTTGGGAAATTAATGGATGATACTCTAGTAACTTCGGGTAATGGAACGACACTCAGCAATTGGTTAGTTGTCTCCGCTCCTAGAACCAGAGGCAGAGGCAAGACCAAGCTGGCTCATGCCTAGCAGCTTATTTCATGCAAGTTTTTTTTTTTTTTTTTGTGTTTTATCTATGTTTCATCATTTTTATGATGTTAGTGTCTGATGTATACAACATCTATGTATCTTTTCAATTTCAATAAAATTAGCCCTTGGGCGTTTATATATATATATATATATTCCAATGCAATTGTTTAGAGTTAGTATTTTTATTTAGTCTCATAAGTTCATTGTATAACTCCATTAGTTTGATTTATCATATTTTTAAAGCATTGTTCTTAATATTTGTACCAAAATGTGTTCTCTCCAATTTTTTAACATCTTACCCTAAAAAATATCATTGAAAATACTTACTTGCTAAATCAATGTGATATCAATTTTAACCCTCCAAATCTCAATGGATGTCTCATATAAACTTAATGTTTGTACATTTTTGCATCTTCTTTAGACATAGTTACTATTAGCATATTTAGTAAATGTTAATAGATGCCTACTAATGGTAGGAGATTATGGCAAAAAATATTCTCATAATTGAGAATATAATTCTAGATATTTTTCACTTTATCCACTCATATGCCTATTTAAAAGCTATTTTACAAGTAAGACATAATAATTTTTTTTCTCATAATGAGGTATCAAAGTAGGAAAATCATAACCATCCTATTGATCTCACATAACTTGCTCGCTTGCCCGTGATGCATGTCATCGCCACAAATCCACCTACCCACACGCAATCTTTATCAATCTCCCTCAAACCTTATGATCACTCATCATTTACAGACACTTAACCACACATCATTATGTTTGCACACTTCATGCAACATTGCCCCTCATACTACTGTCATGCTCGCTCCAATCGTCACTGGCACTCACATCACACAACCTTGCAATCACTCAAATGTCGATTATTTCATATCTACCCCGTGCCTCACTTAGTATCCTGTCCCTACCTTGAATGCTTTGGATTCAATAATAATATTTGCAGTATCTTTATGATTTGGGTTAACTCCAGTATCACATCATGTTAATCATTATGATCACAACTTTAAGGAGTTCGGGAATCGACTATAGGAAGTGGATTTGGATTGATGAAAAAAATTGGGCGTGAAAAAACAACTACTACTACATGACAAAGGCCAGAATCATTGATTCCCAAAAGAAAAGCTGATCTCATATTTTTCTCAATAGGTCCATTCATATCCACATAGCTAGACATTATAATTGACGTAGTTGACATTATATTATGAGTTTCAGTGAAGTGGGCAACTTTTAGTAGAGAAATATGCCATAAATAATGAGCAGAGAGCCGCACCAAAGAGTCCAAAGATCCAATAGTCTAAAATGAAAAATTTTCAAGTTAAAGTGTTAATGGCAGCAATGGCAGAAATCAAGCAGGCTAAGAAGATATAGCATGCAAATGGTTGCAAACTAATATATCATGTGAGCAGGCGATTGAGAATCAGCATGTGAGCAAGCAAGAATGATTGGCGCTTGAGTGAGTAGAATTAGTGCGCAAGCAAGCAAAATCAAGGAGCAAGCGGGATCAGCAAGCAATCAAGTTGGCAGGATTGGCAGGATCAATGTGTGAGCTAGTGATCGGGGCTAATATAAACAATGCATGTGGTCAAGGGAGAGTAAGGGATTCGCTTAAGCAGAATTTTTACTCATTTGCATCCACATGGGATTTTCATGGATTCTCTCTAGGGATCTTCAAAACACATGATCCTCACGAAATCTTTGAAACATACAGAATGAATAGTAATTCTCAACACCTCACGATATCTTAATCGGATCCTCTAGGATCCTACAGATAGAAAAAGAACACGTAGGCCTTTGATAGCATGCCAAAAAGAGCTGCACAAATGGCTGCCCTCCTCTACAGGGTTCTACTTATTATATAGAAAGGAATTGGTGACATACAAGACAATGATTAAGTAATTTGCTCAATCAAATCTATCCTAATAGAAAGTAATTAACATTTTCCCAAAAGCCAAAAATACAAAGCTATACTAATTATTAATACATATTTCTAGCCATAATTTACGTGTAGTACTTGATATGGTAATTGGTCTGATAATTAATGCTTACAAAATTCCTATCATATTGACAAGCAAGTTGATCACATGTTACTCTTTTGTCCATGCAATCAGAATTTAGGAACAATGAGAAAATGGAAGCAAAGAGTGACCAACCTATTGACAGATCACTGAAATCAAGAATGTGAGAAGGGCACCATCTCTTCAAATTTGTTATTCCATTACAGGCACTCAGAGTAGTATTAACCATCACAACCACATTTTCTCCATCAGAAGGATCATTCACTCCATTCATCCTTGAATCTGTATCACCTTGACCACAGGCATCATGTGAACCGTTAACTTTCAAACTTGTATGTGAAGAACACTCATTAAAACAGTCAAAAGGACAACACTGCTTCATATGAATATTATCATCCATAATATCTGAATGTATCCAAGTTGGAATGCACTCAAGTGATCCATCATCACCCTATGGCATGAAGTTGGAAGTTTAGGCTAAATTTAATCGATGGTCATATATTAATACATTTAAGGAAAATAAGCTTAGAAGTTACCATTCGGAAGTCAAACAAACTTGAAAGGTCATGCGGAATATACTTTTCAACTTCATCTATCAAAAAACCTGGAATAGGATCGCCCCTGAACAGCAGAGAAATATTACAAGCGTGGTAAAAAAAATTATGAAAGTTTAAACACCATTCACTGTCATCATTCCAGTTATAAAAAAATTCAAGGCATTGTGAAGTATAATATTTAGATTAAAAAAAAGTAAATGAAATCTTTCAAAGGAATGTGATCAAACTACCTTTTATGATATTGTTGACGCTCATACTCTCCATATGAATGAACTTGCAAAAATGAAAGCATCAAATTATACAATATGGACTTGAAGCATATGTTGTATCAGGAGAGTAGCAACACGGGAACACAAACACATTTGTATCTTACAATTTTATAAGCTAACTGCATAAAGTCATCTTACCTCATGAAACAAGACACAAAGATACAAAGGTTCCATACATAAAATCAAAAGTATTCCAAAGGAATGGGATCAACTCCCATTAAGGGTATTGTTGTTTCTCATGATCTTCACATATAGTTGAACTAGCAAAAAATGAATGTATCAAATTACACATAAAAGTGGATTTATTTTGAAGCAAAAACTGTATCAAAGGGTATCAAACTAGTAAGACAAACATTTGCATCCTATTATTTTATAAGCTAGCTGAACAGAGGCATATTACCTCTCAAACAAATATAAAGGATTTGAAGTTTCAAGACAAAAAGATCACGAGTTACTCTCCCAGCTATATAGGCATAATGTAAACATGCATGAGAATGATGAGATAAATATCAGATTAAAATAGAAAGAGCAACAAAGTTTTCAAAGGCACAAGGGTAAAAAGAAAAGGAAGAAAGATATCATACAACTTCAAGTTGTAAAAGAAATGCTTACTGCCCAGTGAGAAAACTTACCATTGAGCTAATTGATTCTTTATGTTTTTCTTCCTTCTATCTAACAAGGCAATCAGGAGTTCCCATTTTTTAAAGGTATCAAAACCTTTACAATCTGCCTCCATCAGATCAGTCTCCACAGGTAACTTGTTATGTCCAACAGAATATTCTTGAATGTTTCTTTCCTCAGATATCTCCTTGAGATGAGTTTCAATGTTTGGTAATGGTAAAAGGTGAAGGTGACGGAGTTGCTCACCTAGAAATGAAGCTAGATGGAATACTTCATTTTTGGACAACGAATATCTCCTGCAAATGGAAAAGAATCATGTCAATTAGCTTTTGAAGAACTTTTAGAGACACGTGAAGTCAACATATTACAATTCAGATTGATTGCATACATAAAAAATTTGAATTACATTGCAGATAACTACACTCACAAATTAGCAAGAATATCCCCTTTGCATCGTTTAGATACTATAAAAGGCCATATCCTGGAGCACATATTAACTCCATGGTTTTCCAACTCAAATTGTTTCTTGCTCCATATTCCAAAGGGAAACCCATCTGCAGTGTATTTTCTAATTACAAGACTACTGTTAGCAATCATATCAGGCATGGCTCGTCCATCCCATGAAAATGTTCTATAACCAGTACCGTCAGCAACCAAAAATCCACTTTCTATGATATCAGGAACATGATTCATCAAAGGCGAATTGCTTTTGGCAAGCAGACTGTAGAACTCAAGCTGCAGGCATGAGAAAAAGCACCATTTGTACAAGAGAAACACAAAGAAAGAGCAGAAAATAAGGCTTCATTGGAGTTAGAACATACCTCTGTACCAAGACAGTGGAGAGAAGAGCCCAGACCTCCCTCAACAAAAATTTTGATAACGTAATCAGAAATAAGAAATACCTGAACAAATGGAACTACATAAATTGATAAAGCTTCAGATTGAAAGCTACAAATAATTTTCTTCAAGAGGCATTGAAGAAGAAGAAATGTAGAAAAGTCAGATGTTTGGGTAAACTGATGCCTAAACTATGGAATAATAAGCACAAGCTAGCATTACACCAATTCTCAATTACCACGATAGCAGATTGTAGATCAGTTCTATTATACAAGGGTACAGACTATTCATCGCTTCTTTTACTCCAAATGCAATTAAAAGTGCTATGCATCTTGAAAAATATATAGTTACCTAATACTCGTAATGGTTGGCACTCCCTTAATTTTGAAGAGTATGAAATAATATCATTGCATTACAAATACGATGCAAATTAAAAATTGACAAAATTTCATAGAACTCCAAATTCCAAAATCTTGTAACATAGATTATCTTTGCCAAAAATACATTTTAATTAACTTAACTATCTAAAATACATATCTTTGTACCCTGCATAAACTAAAGAGAATCTAAAACTCATTAGTATATAAGTATTTTACATCTTGATCAATCCGTGTGAAGACTTCTAGTTCTTCTTATACTGCCATGAACTCATCTACTTCAACCTCAAGATTTACTAATTCAAAATATTAAACTCCAACGCCTACAATTTATCTTGTTTAGGGCACATACTTATTTCTCCAACTCCTAATGCCTCCTACTCACCTGATGTCAAATTATCATCAACTAAAATGAACTCATCTTTTGATTTTTAAGTATTAGATCCATCTCTCCAATCATGCCTACTGTTCTCAGCTTATTGTCTGATGCTTAAGTTTAGGCTAGGTAATTTTGCTCATTCAGTAGGCGTGTGAAACATTATTGTCTTTCCTTTCCAAGGTTCAATGTGAGCGCTCAGCTAGCATTTAACAATATCACAAGCACCTTCGGTCTTATAATTTATATGCAAAACAAAATGGTGGTTTAATGCACTCTGATTTTTCAGATACGGCATACACTTTTAATTATGATACGATTTCATTAGAATTTTATTATCCGTTGTACTAATTTAATTTGAATTTTAAGCAATTTACCAAGTAATCTACATCCAGTTGATTTAACCTGCTTATTGGCTATACCACTAGGATTAGGTCTATAAGCTGCCACCGCCTTCAAATAATTAGTACATTCTATCCAATTTTCCTTTGTCCTCGTCTCTATTGCAAAATTTCCACTGCCATGCAACTTAGGGAAGCATTCCTCAAACAAGCCATGAGATTAGTTTTGTCATTAGAAAACCGATGTCAAGATCCTTCTTTCTTTTATGGCAACTAACATTTGGACAATTTGATATGAGAAAATGGAAGATAATTTTTTAAGCAGCATTTGTGGCCTCACTCGCTACCTCTATTCCCCATTCTTGAAATGCTATCTTGACTTAGGACCGATCAACCATTGCATTACTGGAATCAACTTTGGATCTCTAGGCCTATATTTACATACACACTTTTCCGATTTCTATTAACTTCCTCTAAATCCCAGTGCAGTTGCTTTGAGTGGATTTTTTTTAATCCCACTCATTCAACTGTAATATCATGACCATATTGAGTTTAGTTGACGTTTTGTCAAATACTCAAAAATAGTATATTTTTTTAACATATATTATTGGCCTAGTGTTGTTTGGTCATGAACTATCTTGTTGTTGGGTGCTCCCGCCATGATTGTGATTACATTGTGAAAATTTAGAATTGAATCAGGTTATGTGTGCCATGCTTGGAGAAATACATTGAAATGAGCAAAAGCTAAAAGGATCTTCCACTTTGTTGACTCCTGGCCTCCTCCTAATGATTCTCTCTTGGGTTTTGTTTACCACAACAAGTAAACAAACAAATTCTAGAAGAATGATGTTGAAGTCAGAACGATTGCCACATAATAGTTATCAATTCCAACGAAATAGTGGTAGCACATGATTCTGAAATTAGGCTATTATTTATGAGTTGAAGCACATATCAAATAAATTATACTATAAAGATTAAAGAGCAGTTGCAATAAATAAATATATTGGTAGATCACTTGCTGCTTACTGAGGTTAACGTCATTTAATTTCTAGCCTGAAAGCTCTAAAGTCTTGCTCACAGATCCACCAAGTTTCAAAATAATGCTTATGGGTGTGGAAACCTGAGAAGAATCAGGCGGTTTTTTTAGTACGGACTGGCTGGCTATCCAAGATCTTATGGAAGATTTGATAGGAGACCAATTTGAAAACATCATGATTTTTGTTTATTCATTTCCTATTTATGTTTGTTAATTTTTTATTTCAAGATTTCTTTTCCTAATTTAGGATGGATTGAATTCCCTATATATATGTACCCTATATATGAATAATGAAATCAAGCAAATTTCCCTAGTAATTTCTACATGATATCTGAGCAATAGAACCCTACCCTAGCCATCAGACATCTGCCAAAGCCACAGAGCCTCTACCCACAGCCTCTACCCACAGCCGTCCCTACCATATTTCTCCCTGGTGTTGTCATTATTGTATGTGTGGCCTGAATTGCTTGTTTGCCTCATCAGAACAGTGCATATGGACTACTCATCGACTCGTTTTCTTCATGTGATGGGATTAGGTCATTGTATCGGCTCGTGCGTCTTGATCGGCTCATGCATCTGGACCACTCGTTGGCCCTGTCTTCATCTTTCGATCCTCTTCTCTCAATTGCAACTCTCATCTGTTGGCCCTCCTCTCTTAACAGACCTTCGCCTATTGTCCTTGTGGCAACTCATTCGACGACCTTCTCATGTTGACCCCGAGGCATATCTCATCCGCCTACACTTCTCTTATTATCCTAGACTGCTCCCTAATCCCAACAGCCAACTTGGTTCTCTCAGAAGACCAGGAACAATCTCAACAACCTTTCCACCGATTTCCTCCTTGTGGCAGCAAGCAGAAGCAATCGAAACTCTCCCCACCTTGGTTCTTCCCTGAAATTTTTCCTTATCCTTGCAGGTCGCACCTTGCAGCTTTCCCTGCTGGAACTCTTCCCTCCAGACCCGTACTCAAAACCTTCCCCGCAACTGTTGGAATCCTTCCTGCAGCCCTTTATCTTCCTGCAAGCCCTCCGTCGGAGCTTCTCCTTGAAGCAGGTCATCCTCCAACGCGTCTCCTTGCAGCAGTCCCTCCTCCAAAACTTGTCCTTGCATTCGTTAGCGCCAGAATTCTCCCTGCAGGCTATAAAACTCCCTGCAAGCCCTCCCAGTTCCTGTCTCATCTCCCGCTATTTCCCTGCATGGTTGTAGTAGTAGATTTGTTGCTCTCTCTCCCCAAAGGACGTCTCTCAGCATCCAGAGCAACTCTACAGACTTCTCCTAGAGCTCCTTGCAAGTTTCCAGGCTTTCCTCCACTCCTGTGGCAAGAAGTAGCCAGGAATCCTACAGTTTGGAATTATTCCAGTCCTAAACGTAAATAGGGTCTATGACCAAGTACAAAATGAAGATTTCTAGTTCTACTCAAAGCCTATCAACTTGATAATACACCAAGGTATCATATCTTCCTATCTTGTGTTGACCTCAATTTTCGTGAGGTCTAGTATT